ACCTCCTCCCAGCAATTGGTGAGTACTGCCGGAAGTCCAGAAAGTCCCTCTGCCTAGCCATGAACTTCTGATCCTTCTGATCCTGCAGGGGTCCAGAGCATCAGTAAAATTCGTAGGGGTTGTCTGGTTGGGTAAGACCCATGTGTTGCCTGAAGCCATACACAGATGGCTCTAGCCGAGGTATGCCACCACTGTGGATGGCGGTGGCTGTGCAAGTTTCCACTGATACTATTTGGTTTGAAACCAACTCAGGGCAAAACAGTCAATAGGCTGAATTAAGGGCTATGTGGATGTTCATTACCCACGAACCCTGGCCCTTAACCCTGTGCACAGACAGTTGGGCACTGGCGTGTGGGCTAACTATGTGGATAAGCCAATGGCATAAAGAAGAGTGGACAATAATGGGTAAAGTCCTGTGGGGAAAAGCCTTGTGGTAGGACATGTGGGATCACCTTCAAACCCCAGATGTTGACCTAACTGTTTTTCATGTAACAGCACATTCACCCCCTCCCTGCTGGAAAACCGAGAAGCGGACCCTATAGCACAAGTTAGGACAGTGCATCCCGAGGGGGAAGCTGCCCATTAGATTCACCAGAAAAGCTGACACTGTAGTGCCCATGTTGGTTAGAAAATAGCCAAAGAGACAGGCATAGGAGTAAAGTATAGTGATCTGGTGGGTGCTGTGCAAAATTGCCCCATGTACTCAGGCCAACGCCCAAGGCATCTGCCACACAATCCTGGGCAGATACATAAAGGAACACAGCCAGTTATGGACCAGCAGGTAAATTTTATAGAGCCTCTACCCCCCAGTGAAGGAGTGAAGTATGCTCTCATTTGTGTGGGCACTGTCACTGGCTTGACAGGCGTTCCCATGTAAACCAGGCTGCTATGATAAAGGAGTTATAAAAATTGAGTATTATGTACAGGATACTCCAAAGGGTTAACAGTGACCAGGGGTACACTTTACAGGTCACAATATGTGTGACTGGGCAGCTGAGAATGAGGCATTACCACCTACCCTACAACCCCCAGGCACGGGCCTGATAGAAAAGAATAATGGTGTCCTGAAACAACAAATATGAACCCTTTACAGGCAAGTCTTCCCTGGCAGGGTGGACCGAGGTGCTGCCTGAGGCTTTGAGGTTGATAAATTTGGCCCCCACTGAGGCTTTAGCCCCAAATGTCAGACTAGGAGCCTCAAGTGACCCTCCAACAATGATCCGAGTAACATCACAGACTCCAGAAGTGTATCCACCAAGGTTGTTGCTGGAACAAAGGAGCATGTTCCTCTGGACACCCCAGGACCTGGCACCGGGAAGTGGAAACACCTATTGACACCTGTCATGGGTCACCCCACCAGCGTGGAGGCAAAGGAACTAATCAACCTTACGTGGGGGCCCACCATCCTACTGCACGGAGGGCCTCGGCAGTCACACTTCACACGGAAGGGAATAATGGCTATACCACGAGGGATGGAAGTGGGTCTCCTTTTCTGGCATACAGTAAAACGGGTAACTTTACTCATAACCCCTAAGGTGACCTCCCTGGGGCAGCATGTATGGTACACTCAGCCAGGAAAAAATGCCTAAAGCAGCCACTATTCTCACTACCCCAGGGAAAGCCACTAGTGTGATCCTAGTAGGAGGGGAAGACTTAAAACCTCTTGGTACCTACTAAACACCTGTCTTTCCGACCGTAGGTATGGTCTACTCTGCCTTCTTTCCCTTCGGGGCTGCCAACCTCTACCTAGAGTGGGTTCAGAGCTTCACCATAGTCCACATCAAAGCAGCTGCTGGGTCTGTGGACAACTCCCCATCTCAAGCACCGAAGGCATGCCTTGGAGCGTGGAGCCCCTGACCGAAACTAGATTCCCAGTGATTTGGGCACCATCAGCAGCTCTGGTTGAATGCAACTACTCTCAACCCTGGCTCTGCATTAGAGCCACATGGAGATCTTTTAAAGCCACCCACCTCTGGTGGTTCTGGTTTAATTGGTTTGAGGTGGGAACCAAGTGTTATTTTTAAAAGCTCTCATGCTAACTCCAATATGTGGCCAGGGTTGAGAACCAGCAGGGGCAATATGAATCTGGCAGGCTCTGTCACTTACTAGCGTCTGAGCCTTACTCTCCTCAGCTGTGAAATGGGAATAAAAGTAACTGCCTCCTGGAGTTGAAAGGATTAGAGAATGGAGGAGTACACAGTAGACGCTGACTGAGCAGTGGCGAAGGGAAATGATGAGCTCTGACTACACACTGGGAACTTCATTTATTCCCCTCCAGCCCCCTCTCCCATCCCAGGTGCTGGTGAGACTCTGGGCCAAGCAGTCCCCTGGCCAATATAAGCCCTTTGTCCCTGCCCCTGGGCTCTTGGTCCAGGCAGGCATGATGTTAGCGGTAAGGCCGCTGACCCAGCCCTGCCACCACTGAGTCCTCAACCTTACGGTTATCTGGAGCATTATCTCCTGCTGTCCAAACCCGAGTGCGTAGAAAAGGCACGCGAAGTTCAGGATGAACAGGGGCTCATCTTTGCGGAGTTTTCCCTCACTGATTTTTAAGTCAAACAGTCTTTGTTTAAAGACCGTGAGTCACATGACTCAGGAAGTACAGAAAAGCTATTTTCACCAGGCAGCCTCTCAGCAGGGAAACCGTGGCATCTGCTTTAGAGGGCTATTAGTGGAAATTCTTGAGAAGACGCCTCATGTGAATCACTGTTTTTAGCAGCCAAGTTTTAGGAATGTTTCTTCGTAAGAAAATCTTATCCGAGCTCCAGCCCAACTGGACCACCTTGTGGGAGCAAGAGCAGCTTGGTGGGCCCCACGTGGTAGTGGTGCGGGAGGGGGGGGTGCGGGCAGCTCTGCCAGCCAAGGACTCTGCTCATCCCTCTGCCCAGATGCCAGCAACTAGTGCCAACCACTGTAGTTGGAGGACCGCCAGATGAGAAATGACCCAGGAGCCCAGTTTCAGAACCCTAGATCAGTGATTTCAAACCCCTTCAATCACAGGATGCAGCTGGGATTGTTAATCCTGTTCATGCTGATTCCCAGGCCTCTTCCCAGACCCACTGGACTCTGAAACTTACATTTTTGCCAAGTGTCCCCAAATAACAGCTACCACTTATTAAGAAATTAATCTGTGCCAGGCATTATGTTATGCGCCTTTAATCAACTCATTTAATCCTCATACCCATAAACCCACTGCCCTCAAGCTGATTCCGACTCATAGCAACCCTATAAAACAGAGCAGAACTGCCCCATAGTTTCCAAGGCTGTAAATCTTTATGGAAACAGACTGCTACATCTTTTTCCTGCAGAGCAGCTGGCAGGTTCGAACAGCCAACCTTTTGGTTAGCAGCCAAGCCCTTAACCACTGTACCACTAGGGCTCCCTTTAATCCTTACCAGAGCCTAGAAAGAAAGGAACTTGCCCAGGACCACAATTATCAAGGGGTGGAGCCAGAATGCCACCGTGAGTATTATAACCACACAGTCCCCAAACCAGGAGGCAGTTTAGCTTCTCAAGCAGAAACATCAACAAGACTTTAACCCTTTCCTGCCAGGCGGTACATACTGTGACCATGAATTTTTCAGCCTCTGGGGTTTATTGGGAAGCTGCTTTCCCACTGATAGGGTGGGCTGCCTCAAGGCAGGTGCCTTTATGACTATTTGAAACTAAAGAAACGGGCATGTGCTGCAAATTACTGTTTTTACAGGGCATCGTATGAGGTGTCCGAATTTTTGATAGGAAAAATAGAAATTTTGAAAATTTTCATTGTTAACCATATGTACCAATAGACCCTGGTGGGGACTCTGGGGTATAATTAGTGGTACTTCATGTGTACCACTAAACACAGGGTAGTCTTGTGCGAGTGGGCAAGAAAAAAAAAATCCATACCACCTATGAAAAATTCAGACCCACTCAATGATTCAGCATGCTTCCATTAATGAAAACACATGGTATCAACAAAAAATTCAAAGCAGAAAATAATTGAGTCACCAATGGATTAAGTCTAGAACAAAGGCTTAACAACCTGGGTGAGGCTGGGCACACCCCCAGGCAATAGTGCCAATGGTAGTTCAAAGGGGAAGGCCTTCTGCAATCTGGACCAGTGCCCAGATCCTGCTCCCTCAAATCCAGGAGGAGCTGCACCCAACAAGGAGGTGCAAGTACCCAGAATTAGCTTGGGGCCCTCAACTCAGGGTGGCTGCCCTACCTGCTCATGGCTATAGAGAGCTGCCTTGCCCAAATAGCCCCAGGCCAGGCCAGGCACCCTGTGTCCAAGGGTGGAAACAGGCAGTTTACAGGAGAGCCACCTGCCACCTCACCTGACAGCTAGCCTTTTCTTCATAACCCAGGGGTCCACCCAGGCAGGCAGCAGAGAACACAGAGGACATCTGCCTTAACAAGATCCCCCATCAAGTGCTTCACATCCAAGTGCCAGCTCTAAGATCTCCAGAACCTCAGGCTTGTGGGTCCAACTGAGCCTCCTGGTTTTTATGCAATACTACAGCATACTTCACTTCCCCCTCCTGAGGGGAAAGAAAAGAGCCTTCTCACCAAACCCCAAGCCCTCTGGAAATCAAGCCTACGTTAAGATCACCCTGCTAATGACTTCTCAGTTGATCTGCCAAGGCCCACAGTTGGCATAGCCCCATTAGGGCAGCAGGAGAAACCTCACATTCGGCAGAGATGAGAGGTCTCGATGGGGACAAGCCACATTCTAGGGGCTCAAGGGGACAGGTCAGGGCCCAGGTCACAGATTTTCGGGGTTATGAGCTGATGAGTTGATCTACCTTTGTTTTAAAACCCAGAAAAACCTCCAATGAGGAGAGCAAAACCTCATGAGGCAAAGCCTCCTCCCAGCTTCTTCCTCCTCTGGTTCAGTAAGGTCTTGCCTGCCCCAGCAGAAGCATGGCCCTATAAAGCAGGGTGGCCTAGAGAGATTCTTGAGGGGCACAGAGTCCCACCACTGGTTTGGGGTTTGGGGGTCAGTAAGAAGTACTCACTTTCAGAGGGGCAGCTGAGCAATTCCTCGCTCTGATCAGATCGGGAAACTCCCTCACTCAGCCAGGCATCGCTTCCCAGCAAGGGCAGGGCGAGGCCTAGGGGTGGGGCTTGGCCACTTAAAGGGCCCTTGCAGCTGGACCAGAGCCCTGTTGGTGCAGTTGTTCAGAGCTATGGCTGCTAACTAAAACGTCGGTAGTTCGAATCCGACAGCTGGTCCTTGGAAACCCTTTGGGGGGTTCTGCTCTGCCCCTCAGAGTCCCTGTGAGTGGAAATCGACTAGACGGCAGTGAGTTTGGTTTTTGTTTGCTTGTTTGTTTGCGGCTGGTTCTCCCCAGAGCTGCTTCCGCGGCAGCAGAAGGCAGGGCTGCTCATTCAGAGCTCAAGAATTTCTGCCTCTAAGCCAGCTGGCGGCACTGGGGTGAGACTAGGAAGGGTGACAGGACCTGAGGCGGGAGGGAGCAGGTGCTGACTGAGTTCACCTCTCATCCACCTGGCTTTAATTTCCCAATCTGTGTGAGTACAAATCTACCTCTCCAACCGCCCCTCCCCACCAAGTGTGGCCAACTGTCCAGGCTCAAGCCACAGCCCCTTTTCTTTTTTTATGATTATTATTTTAATTGTACTTTAGATGAAGGTTTACAGAGCAAACAAGTTTCTCATTAAACAATTAATACACATATCATTTTGAGACATTCGTTGTCAACCCCACGACATGTCAACACTCTCCCCTTCTCAACCTTGCATTCCCCATTACCAGCTTTCATGTCTCTACCTACCTTCTCGTCCTTGCCCCTGGGCTGGTGTGCCCACTTAGTCTCCTTTTGTTTTATGGGCCTCTCTAATCTATGGCTGCAGTGTGAACCTCAGGAGTGACTTTAATACTGAGCTATAAGGGTTTCCAGGGGCCATACTCCTGGAGTTTCTCCAGTCTCTGTCAGACCAGTAAGTCTGGCCTTCCCTTTTAAGAGCAGATAATTTTGCATCTTTTATTTTAGACTTAGGAAATTCAGCCCCAATCTCCAAATAGACGTTCAACAGAAAACATAAACACACGCACAGACCCCTTCCTTCCTGCCAGGTGCTTTGTCAGGAGCTTGGCATTTCTCTCCTCTGCCCATGTCCCCTGCTGTCCAGGGCTGGGGAAGGAGGGCCCAGCCCCAGCAGGTACGGACGGAGGGGACGGGACAGGCCGGGACTGCTCCCTGCAGACAGGGGCGGGGCGGGGGGGGGGGGGTGGCTGTGGAGGGGCTGGGGTCCTCTGAGTCCAGGCTGAAGAGGTCCCTGCCAGTGCGAAGAATCTGCTTCTCCAGCTTCTTGTGCCGCTTCATGTCTGAGAGGACCTCGTCCAGGCGGGCCTCCCGTTTTTGGAGAAGGAGAAGGTGAGACATGTGGAAGGGGCTGTGGCAGTGTACCCCACACCTGCCTGGCTCTTACTCATCACTTGGGGAGCTTCTTAAACATACAGATTTCACCTTCTGGGTCTGCTTCCAGGACCCCTTTCCTCCGGACATTCCCTTTGCTTTCTAGGAGGAAATGATGGAGAAAGCTGGGTTCTGCCTGGAAAGGAGATGTGGCAATACGAAAATGCAGTCATTGTGAATACCAGCAATGAGAGTCTCACAGATAAGAATCTTGTGTCAGAAAGCATCTTCATGCTCCCAGGGCCTGATCTGAAGGAGGACCTCCAGAAACTTAAAGGTTGCCAGAAAGGTGAAGCAAAATTGACCAAAGGATTTAATCTATCTGCCCGGGTCGCCATTCACACAGTGGAACCTAAGAGCTGCTATCGCACAGCGGCAGAGAGTTCCTTGTACAGCTGCTACACATACTTCAGCTGGCAAAAGTATAGTCAGTGTCTTCTGTTGGATTCTGTGTTATAAATCCTGCAAAATGAGGTTATCCTAAAGGATGCAACACACATAGCACTTTGCACTGTAAGGAAATTTCTAGAGATTCATGGGGAGACCACTGAAAAAGTAATATTTGCTGTCTGTGAACTTAAAGCGGCTACCTACCAAAAGCTGCTACCTCCGTATTTCCCGAGGGCTTTGAAGGAGAAGAGTTGGTCTTTGCTGTACTTTCCTGCAAATATTGGAAAAGCAGAAGGGAAGCCTGTGGTACCTGAACGGCAGATAAGGACAAATGAAAAGCCTGGTGCTCCAGAGGACAACCTAGAGGAGAAGAGATGAAGGCTTAGGAGTTGCTCTCTCTTTCATTAGCTCTCATGCTTTTGCTCGAATGGAAGGAGATACTGATAAGCAAAGAAGATTAATCCTTCGGGGACAGTTATCAGAGGCAGCCCTCCAGAAGCGGCATTAAAGAAATTATAATCGCTGGTTATGTCAAGCAAGACCTGAGGAGCTATCCGATATTGCTTCTCTAAAAGCCTTATACCAAACAGGTGTTGATAACTGTGGTCGCACAGTGAGGGTGGTAGTTGAAAGAAACATTTCTGTAACATTAATAGATGTGGACAAGTCTCTCCTGTATTTTATCCATTTAATGGATCACATTGCTGTGAAGGACTATGTATTAGTACATTTTCACACACTGACCAGCGAATACAATCACCTAGACTCTGATTTCCTGAAGAAACTCGACAATGTTGTTAATATTAAGTACAAAAGGAATTGGAAGGCTGTATATTTTGTTCATGCAACATTTTGTTCAAAGGTGTCAACATAGTATTTCACCACTTTTCTGTCTCAGGACTGAAGGACAAAATCCACCATGTGGACAACTTCCACCAGCTGTTTTCTGCTGTGTCTCCAGAACAGATCGCCTTTCCTCCTTTTGTCCTTGAATAACGTTGCCAGGAAAACGGCCCTTACTGTACATCTTATCCCCTATTGCCAGATTTGTGACCTGCCATCTTTCAGTGCTGCTGGTTTCCAAGAATGCCACTTTCTCCACGACTAGTCACCTATTGAAGTGATATTCATTTTCGTTGTAGAGATCTAGAGAGTCTTCTGTCCTCACCTCTCTGGTATTGTTTTAATTGACTGTATTTTCTGGCACATGAATTCTAAAAATGGTAGACCACTCAGAACTATAAAATTATTTTAAATTTGTATATTTGTATCAAATGGAAATGTTCATTTTTAGAAAGTTGTTATTAGAAATTGGGGAGCAACTTTTGAGTGTCTTCAGTTTCCTGAAAAGACACTGGATTCTTCATTAGACCAGGCACCAAGATTGTTCGTGTCATCTGCTTAACACTGAACGCTTCTTTTGTGTACTGAAGTGTTTCTCAAAATATATAGAACCAGCGTGTACTGACCAGTTGCATTGTTTGCTTCAGATCCTGGTGTTAATACCACTTACATTTTATACAGATAATTTGGTTATGATAAAAGACAATTTCCAGGACCAAGAATGTGGAAATGTATCTGATCAAAAAAAAAATCAAAATTATTACCAAATACAGGACTTGGAATTTTACTGCAAAAATAAATAAATAATATGGATTTCCAGGTCTCCGTCACGGAGGTTCTGAGGTTTGGGGTTGGGCCTCAGATGGGGTGGGCACTGATGGACTCTCTAAGGGGGTGATGGTGGTACACTTGAATTATGACAAGGCACCAGCAATGTGACAGTCAGGGAAGAACATCCCAGGCAGAGGGAAGAGCAAGTGCAAAGGCCCCAAGGCAGGAGCAGAGGAGAATGAGAGCAGGGGGACAGGTGAGAGAGAAGTGAAAGAGATGACACAGGGCCTTACAGGCCGGGCTAAGGAGTTTGGATTTCTCACTCTGTGTGAAATGGAGGCCTTAAGCAGAGAAGTGACATGGTTTATATTTTAAAAGTATCATTCTGGTTGCTGAGGCCGAGGCAGGGAGACCAGCTAGGAGCTATGCAACCATCCTGCAAAGAGACGATAGTGGCTTGGATGAGGGTGAGGTGTGGAAAGTGGAGAGAAGTGAATGGACTTGGAAATGCTGGGGGGCAGAGTTAATAGCACTTCCTTGCTGCATGCTTGAATGTTGGGATAACAGAGAAGAATCAAGAATGCCTCCAAGGCTTTTGGCTTGAACTTGGTGGATATGGATTCTGGGAGAAATCTGAGGGGAAGTTTGGAGGTGCCAGATTTTTGAAGAAACTGGAGTTCAGGTGAGAGGTGAGGGTTGGAGATTTAAATGATGTCCAAAATCACAGGCCTGGATGAGATGGTCTGGAACAGGATACAGATAGAAGACTTAGCCCTGGGACAGCCATCTTAAAAAGAAAAAAACTTTTCTGGTTGGTTTATTTAATAAATACTTACAGCGCTTATCATTCTACTCCTTTTACATATTATTTATGTAACAATTTTCAGTAAAGGATTTAATATTATACTTTGTATTTAGGCATACATGGATATATAAATATACAAATAGGTAATAAATGTAAAGCTTTAAAATATAATAACTTATTAGTATATTAAATAAAACAATGTATATATCAT